TAAGCAAGCAGAACAAAAACTTGCAGACGTCTGCAAACTCTCTGCCAGCAGTCATCTTGTGCCCTCTAAAGCCACAGCAGGTAATGAGCTCCATATAACTTAACACCAAATTGTTAAAAACACACCTAAATAAATGCTAGTTACAGAAAGGCAAAGCCTGATTTCCTGTGCATCTTAAAAAGGACGCACAGGCGAATGCTTGTAGACAGTGAAGTGAAAACCAAGAGTCAGCTTCCAACCAGCAGTAACTGTCAAGCAGTGGGTCTCTTCACATCAGTGGCAGAGGGAAGATGAATGATGCCACAGGTCTGTCAGCCAGTTTATTGCAAAAGCTTTGTAGTCTCTTAAAACACAGCCAAACCTTTACTTAATCCAGGGTTATGAAGTCACAGTAATATTTTCTTTTTTTATAGCCTACACATTTGACAATGGGGTGCAGTTTTTAAAAATTTTACAGGGAAGGCATTTGGTAAGCAGTGGCTAAATAAGATTACAACACAACAAAACAATGGCTTAGTGGTTGTGATGTTGAAACAATAGTGTTGCGTTTTTTTCTGTTTAACTTATTACCATTTAACATTTGGCTAACGGCTTGTCAATTACAGGATGTTAGCTGGTAAGTGTACGTTTTCACAAACTGATCCAGCCCTTGTTCTGGTTTCAAAATACACAGACGGCAAATAGGAAAATCATCTGCACTGATAACTGGATATTTTTTCTCAGCTCAGAAATACTGTGCCAATGCTTAACTAGTACTCTTGTCTCTTCTGAATACTGGTGCAGCAGTGATGGTGGTTCATCTTACTGGCTTAGAGGAAAGTGTCCTAAACACTGCTGAGTCACGCACTGTTCGCCCCCTCACAATAGTTGACAAATAGTGGGCTCACCTTCATCTTCACAGATGATTCAGTGGCTGACCAGGAGACAAGCAGAGTGGGTTGCATTTTTGTCACAACATCTCAAGCCCTCTGGCAACTTATGAGAGGCACATATTCAAGGCCCTGTCTCCTGTGTCTGGCAATAGCATACAAGGCCGACACTAGAGACAGCTGAATTGGGAGTGAGGTCTCACTATCCCACAGTAACAGTAGCCCACGCATGAGACACAGCCGCAAGCAGACCACAGACTCATGGCTATGTCCCCGCTTCAGTTTTTGTATCTACCATTTAATACTGAGTATTACACTTGACCAAAGTCGACTTTTCATGTTTAAAGCTCATCTCATGTTAAAAATGGAAAACTGACAAGACTGCATCTGCACAGACTACAAGTGAAAGCAATTTCTTCATTCAGTGTTCTTTCTAAGCCTTCTCTCAAATGTGCTACTTTGTCTTGAAATAAGCAGCTATTATATACATTTCCCAAAAGGTTGGATGGTTCCTTGGCAGGCTTTCTAACAGAAACTGCACAGCAAGACGTCTGTACCAAGGACTGATACTAATTCCCTACAATCTGTTAGGTTACGAACACAGACCTAAAATCCATCAAAACACAAGAACATAAGCACAAAGAGCACAGAAACATTAAATGGCAGGTCTAATGAAAAAGAGTAATGAACAGAAAAAGAACATATATCCATCAGCACAGCCAACAGCTAAGTACATAAGCCATTAGCTAGGCTTAAACATTGACAGAAAGAGACTGATTCATCTGTTACCAATTTAGCTACAAACTAAACGGCAAAAGCAGAAAAAAAGGGGGGAGGGAGCTTAAATGGAAAGAAGCAGTGAATCACACTGTAGCCAAAGTCATCTCTTAAATAGAATCATCTCAGGTAATGACCTCCAGACAACAGCTTCCTCTGTGAGTCAGAATAATTGGTCCAATAGAGCGTTAATACCAAGCCAAGACCGGAGAAAGAGGGGGGGAAAAAAAACTAAACTAAACAACAACAACAACAAAACAAGAACAAAGAAAGAAAGACTGTTCTTGTAGCTTGTCTAACTAAAAGGTCAGAAATAGAGGGGTCAGCCATCGCTGTGAATCCTCTTCACTGTCACCTCAGTCCTGCCTCATTCTGTCAGGGCCCAGACCCCTCCAGTGGTTCCTGCTCCTCACTCTGCAGCTGTCATGATATTTACGCACCTCCTCAGACACAACACTACACACATTAGATTTACAGCATCACTCAAACAATGATGGGTGATAACCCCTATATGAAATATTGCAAAATGCCAGTATTATTTTCAGGTGGCCACAAACTGTGCCACATGTCATCTGCACAATGTACTAAAACAAACAAACAAAAAACACAACAACAAATAACCCCAGAAGGGTTTTTCTTACTTACAAACATGTTTGGTCCCTCACAAAAGAAATTTTAGACTATAGTAAGATAAAATCACCAGCACAAAAATGATAAGAATCAAGACTACAAATAGCACTTCAAATGTTTCTGACATTTGTGTTTATCAAATGGTCAAAAATAAGATAAAAATAACATGAAAATACAAAGATTAGGGTCAGATAATATCAGATAATGTCATAAAAAAATCAACACTGAAGATGGGTGTGCAGACAAATTAATTTGTTTGAGGGCACTGATATAAAAGTTGAAACTATCGATGGACTGACTGAAAATAATCAATAGATATTAATCATAGTTAAAATAAATTACATGTAGTTGCTGTGCTCTGGGCTCCACAGTGCTTTGTGTGTGTGAACCACCACTATCTGCTCTTCAAAGGGAAAAAAAAAAAAAAAAAGAACAGTAGAACATCACCAGCAGGAAACCCACAGCAAGCATGACACACCCAACTGCTTACTTATGTATCTAATAAGCCTTTTTATTTTCAAGAACATGTACCCATACAGCATTGCTAAAAATGATAGATATAGATGGAATAGGTTGACCTTGAAAATGTGCCGCATAATATCCAGTTTTGTCACCCTTTCATTGAAAAACACATACATAATGGATGCTATCCAAAAGGTTACCTTGTGGAACATTTCCTATTTTCAGCACTGTGTTCTCAATATTTAGTTTTTGTCACAACCCAAATCTATTTTTTATTGTGTTTGTTTTTTTAAATATACTATTAATAAAGCAGTTACTCAGCAGTAACTTCCACACAAGGTCCAATTTTGACAACAGAAAGAAAATGGTAGGGAAAGCAAAAAAAAAAAAAAAACATAAAAAGAAAAAGTGCCATATTTATTTCTGCTGCCATCTTTCAACAGCTTCATCCACATTCCAAACCACCTACCCAAATAAGGGTTACCAAAGGGTACACAACCACAAACTACTTGCATACAATTTAGAATCACCAATCAACTCAACATGCATGGCTTAGGACTGTGGAGGAATCTGGAGTACATAAGCGAAAACTGTGCCGGTACAGGGAGAACATGCTAATTCAACACAGAAAGGCTCTGGCTGAACAGGAAGTAGAAATCCAGAACTTCCTTGTTGTGGTAAGCACTGCACTATTGTGCTGCCCAAACATAAAATTGTCATATTAAATAGAAAACAACAGTTTTTGTATAAAGTAGTGAATGGTATTTGGTTAACCCCTGGCCTTGCAACATGCCCCCAAGTTAGTCCCCATGGCATGCCACACCTAGTGTGTGAACAGAGAGTAAAAATTACATTATTGTATTTTATTTATGTTTTATTTTATTTTCATTTACTGTAATGTGTTATATACTTCTGACAGGGCTCTGTACGATTTTTTTTAAACAACTAAACAAAACAAAGCTGAATTACATATTTTTGGTATTTGTTTTTCATATGCAAGTAACATGTAAGTGATTTTCAAGGAGCAGGGGGTGTAATTATGTAGACCAGGCAGAAAAAGTGGCTTTTTATTTCCTCACATTTTTAAACAGTTTAAACATTGACACAGAACATGTTCAGGTAATCAGGTAAGGTCTTTGTGGATGATGGTAATGTAACTGAATTCCCTGAGGACGACAGACCCATAGCTGAGCACCACAAGCAAAATTTGATCTCTGTTTGAACAAAGCCTGATTCAGGTGAGGGTTTTTCCACTGTGGAAAATGACGGCAATGGCTAGAAAGGCATGTTTGTAAGGCAGTGCTAATATTAGCAAGTCTTATCAGGACAAACTGCATAAGACTGGGGAAGTGACAAAAAGATATCACTGTGGATTCCCTGCCATCCCCCAGGAAGTTGTGGAAACTTAAACAAATTGGACTGGTGACCATCAAAATGACAGGGATATCACAGAGGCTTGTCAGGACCGCTCAATCTCACCCTGATGCTGACAAGAGATGATTGAGGCAGGTGTGGGGGTCCAATCCATTTCCTGTACATATATAGCAAAACTATCAAAACCGAGAGAGAAGTGGCACCTGTTGCCTGTGAAATTTGTTCAATGAGCAAATGAAGTGAGCACAGCAAACCCATTTTGGCTGTTTCAATACTGAACTGAGTAAGAACTATAGCGGCATAGTTTGTTTAGCATCTGAAACAAGCCTTCAAACAAATTGCAATTGACAAGAGGTAGATCTAAGTTCATCTGATAACAGTTTCTTACTAAAAAAAAAAAGGAAAAAGGGTTTCAAACACTTTTTGGATTTATTATTGCATGACACAGGAGTCACTGCTGAACTGTAGATATTCTGTAAAAATCCCACAGACGTGCGTCTCTGCCATGCTGGTCAAAAAATTTACCGTCACTGCCTCCAGTGTTACTACTTGCGTAGAAGTGATTTGAGTGCACCAGTGAAAAATTCTCAATTTCGCTGATGGAGTTCATTTATGTAGTGCGATCAATGGCATCAATATCTCTGACTCAAGTATTACACAACAGCTAATACTCCCAACACACACAAAGAAACACCTTTAGCCCTGAAATGAAATCAAACTCACAGCAGCTCTACACCTGAACACCTAAATGCCAACAGATAAAGTAGAAGCACCATTTAGAACAAATTTCCTCAAATGTAATCCCAAGGCAGTTTTGTCAGAAATGAACTTGGGCCCAACAGACTTAAGTCAGCAAGTGTGACTAATACTGGACAAAAATTTGTGTACCTGCTGGGGGCCCTCCCCGTTGACCATGGCTGGGGGTGGTGGTGAGGCCAGGATTGGGAGTTCAGGGCTGAGAAGCTGGCCAGACTCCAGAGGTGGCGTGTGGTCTGCCATGTCTCCCTCATTCACACCACTGAAGAGGTACTGCTGCAACGAAGACAGAGTGATCAATGGAAATGTACAAAGTGTACCAAAAAGGTTTATGACGTCAACATCTTAAGTCTTGGGAGTCATTCAGCCTGTGCTGAGAAATACATTTACCTATAATGTCTGCAGGATGCAGCTTTTTTTCTCCTCTCTGTCTGTACACACTATTAGTCCTTTTCCACTAGTACCTACTCGTCCTGGCTCAACTCAGCTTGACTGGGTTTTTGCGATCTTGCATTAAGTGGTAGTAACCGGCAACAAGTACTTTTTTAGTACCTACTTGGCTGGGTTTTCCGGGCAAGCTGAATTGACCGGAAGATGTGATGTCAACAGACTGCATGCCACTGTCAACGGCATCACTTGACGAGTCACGAAAGCAACTCCATCACAGAAATCAAAACCGGCATTTTGGATGCCTATAAAGGAATCATGGTACCTTTATAAGCTACCATGATGCTTGACAATTTTGAGCTTGCAGAAAACGCATAGCAACTTTCTCAGAAGAAACAGTAGTAAGCATGAAGGACCAGGGTTGATCCTTCTGGGTCCCCACATTCATAAATTAGATCAAATCAAATCATCAGTCACCTTTTAAAGACTTATTAGTAGAGCTGGGCGATATGGCCTAAAATCAACATCACAGTTATATTTATTTATTTATTTGTTATATTTATTTATTTAGGACAGTGCATGTTAATGAACATAAATGTAAAAAAAAATAAAAATTACATGAATGTAAACATACCAGATTATAGCCAAGGGCTAATTTCCATCTGTTGTCCTTAAGCATAAAAATAATTTAAAGCATGTGCGGTAACGATATATATCGCGATATATTCTTTTCTTCTGTATAACGTATTTTCCACACTATAAGGCACACTTAAAATCCTTTAATTTTCTCAAAAATCGACAGTGTATGAATTCTGGTTGTGCTTACTGACCTCAAGCCGATTTTATGTAGTACACGGCGCGCAGAAATCTGTCAAAAATGTTTTAGTACGACTTTGGTAAGCTATGAAGCCACACCGCTTGATGGATTGCCAGAGCGTTACGGCTACCGTAGTCAGGAGCCTGCAGTGACTTCTGTAGGGTTACTGAAGTTGGACTAGCTGGTATATAATGATGTCCTACATGATCACTAGCAAAACACCTATGTTAGCATAACATTAGCACAGTGAAGCTGAAGGATGGACGCTAATACTTTTCCACTCGATAAAAGTTAACATGAGTTAGGGACAAATGCAATCACATGGCAGGATGCTGTAAACGGACCAAACTTCAGTTAGGAGAACAACTGAGATAATCCATCCACAATACGAGGTTAGTCATTCATATACTGCAACAACATGGGAATAGAGCAGCTGCAAGAGAATTCAGCATTAATGAATCAATGGTAGGGAAGTGGAGGAAGCGCAGTTTTTGGCTTCCCCCATACTCCAAAAGTGCTTAGTCTCTTTGCTATTACTGTTGACTGGCATGATTTGCAGATGATGTTGTTTGCAGCCACTGCAATGCTTTCGACCAAAACAGGCGCAGCTTGATGACACCATCAACATGCGCTATCGCCGTAGAGCGGTATAATCAAAATCTCTACTGTTGGCCAAATTTATATAGTTTCTACCGGATATCATTTATACCGCCCACCCCTAATTATTAGATCAAACTAACTGAATTATGAATTATGACAAGATTATCACTGATCATTTTGGGAGTTTTTAGTGACATGTTTTTTTTTTTTGTTTGTTTGGTTTTTTTTTTTTTTATGTACACAGGGACTAAACTATGGCTACGTCCACACGTACATGGGTATTTTTGAAAACGGACCAAAAACACTGTTTACGTGTGGACGAAAGGTGCAAACGCATAGAAAAATCTGCGTTTTCAAAAATACCCGGGTACGTGTGGACGTAGCCTATGTTGGCCACAGTGTAAAAAACATTAAACAACCAAGTTTAGCATCTACAGTTGACTTGGGATGACAATTATTTAAAAACAAACAAACAAACACAACAACACTACCTTGCAATGACAGAATTGGCTGTCTGGTCCAAAATGAAGAATATTCATTACTCTAATATTCTAATATCTCCATGTAAACCATTCATTGATAGTCACAACTGACAGCTTGCTTACCTACTCTCATGAGCACCAGTGATTCTGACTTTTGGGGCTTTTGACAAAAACTGTGACTGCTCTAAAGACACACAGTTCCCTTCTGTTTGCTAAGGAGAAACAATATTTTGCAGTATTTTGTCAAGTTTATTGTGGTAGCTTGATTACTTGACCTGCTATGTGCATAAATTTGCCAATGCTGGCTCAGTGTGTTTTCAGTAAGCTCATTTTTGCTTTGCTGAGAGGTTTAGGGACATGTAATGTCCTGGAAAACTGGACTTCAAATCAAGCTCTAACTCAAAACAGTGGGTCAAATCACAACACTTGACACGCATTTTTTAAATTAAGACACAGACATGTCCTAAGGAGTGGCGTTAAGATGAACTACAGTGAGTGGCAATTTGGTGCAAAGCTTAATTTATTTCTGGATACATCCATCGTTTCTCACTTCCAGCAACATAAACTCTATTGAAAGATATTTTGCTGATGCATGAGTTGAGGATGGCATTTTGACAAATATAAACCCAAGACTAAATGCAGAGTAAAAAGTGCCGTGCAGTTAAAACGTTTTTAGAGTCTTTATTGTTTATTTCTCTTGATTAGAGAGTGTTCAATGATTCACACTGAAAGTGTATATATATATACACACACACACACACACACACACACACACACACACAGAAGGTTGGTGGTTCGATAACCACCTCCTCAAGTCTGCGTTCAACATGCTGAACACCAAAGTGCTTAAAGTGCAAAGACCAAAATAGCTTTATAAATTATGTATGTGATGTTTAAACGTTGTTCTTAACAGTCTGTACCAGAAATTGTATTGGGTTAAGGAAATTATTGTTTTATTAAATGTACAATGCCAGTGACATCTTTACTGATTCTAAGACGTTAAGGTCTGTGACTGCTGATGTTGGCACTGTTAATGATAGCCATTCAGCAAACAAATAATCCGCCATGATGTTTGTACAATTTGGTGCATGTTACAAAATGCCACACATTTCAGTGACATTTAAAAGTCAATTTGATTACTGGAAAATGTGACTAACAGTTTCAAATGGCTTTTAAATATACACACAATCTTTGTATAGCCAATATTTGACCCTCATCCATTTCAAAATGCTCAATTTTGGCTGTTTACTGAGTACTTAATTACATCACACTAGCCAACTAGTCAGTTTTTTTTCCTCGTTTAATAACTTTTTAATCAGATATCAAGAATATCTTGTGTGTGTGTGTGTGTGTGTGTGTTGACCTCTTACTATGCATTTTCATGCACCGTGAATACATACAATAACAATGTAATGAAGTAAATTTAAACAAATCTGTGCTAGGTGACACGAACAGAGAGGAATCCTAATTCACGCAAGTTAAAATATTTCAAAATTAGATGAAAAATATACATCATGCTGTGTCACTAAAGACCATCAGCTGGACTTCTCTCAAGGACTGTGGATAAGCTTATCATTGGAATTTGAGGGCAAATGGAGTTCTATGGCTCAACTTCAGTTTTATAAAGAAGGAGGGCTTAAGAAAACTTTGTAGTAAGCTGTTAAAATATCTTACTGTAACTTGCTTCCAGCTATTGGTCATAGTCATTAGGGCTACCACAATTAGTCAACTAGTCACAATTACGTCGACTATCAAAATTGTTGATGACTAATTTAATAGTCGACGCGCCGTTTGAAGCTTTGTAGGATCCCAAAAGACGCAGGAATGAGTAGGAGGATTTAAGAGTGTAATAACGGGCTGAAACATAAGATGGCAGCACTGCATGTACAAGGATGCCAGCTGCCGTTAAACCCCGAAGAAGAAGAAGCAGTGTCCGGTATCGTAGCTGTGTCCAAATTCAGGAACCGCATCCTCCGGTGCCCGCATTTGGAGGCCGATTACGTTACAGCGACACGACGAAAACTGTCCAAATTCGAAGACTCTGACAAATGCGCCCTTCATTTCCCCAGATTTGAAGGATGGGTCGGGTGTATACTTCGTGGCCCAACCTATCCCAGAACTCATAGCGCGGCCCTGCTCAGTTTCCAACAGTGGCGGCAGCTAGTTAGTTTTAATATTACTCTTATTATTCTTTCTGGGTCACAAAATAAACGCTTAACATATTTTCAAGCGAGAATGTAGCTGTGTAAGCTTCAAATATCTGCTCAGTTTATCAAGACACCACATATTTTCAGAAGCGCAGAAGCGCGCCAACATTTTCGGAGAAGTCTGTTACCCACCAGCTCGATAGCTAGCCAGGGTTCAAGGCTCACTAGAGCCAGTGGGAACACCGGACTCCCGGCAAATTGTTTTCAAACCCACCGCCGTCTTTGGCTACTCAGGTTAAAATTGATATATAAGTCACTTAGATAACTTAAAAATGTTATAGTTTGGCTTTTTTCAGTATTTTATTTGTTCCTGAG